GGTGAATGCGCTTCAAACAATCAAGAAAAAATATGCTTTCACATACCTGCACACATGAACTGTGGGACTCACTGCCACAAGATATGAAAAAGGTCTGAAGTTAAGTGCGTTCAAAAAGCAATTTGACAAATTAATGGAAGGAAGGTCCACCAAGTGCTGCCCATCTCAACAGTGTGAGTACAGCAAGACAACTCTAGCACAGACCGGTGGATGCTGAGTGAGCACATCAGAAGGACTGCCTGTACTTCTGTTTCCCTGCCCTAAGCATCCTCGAGTCATCACTCACAGTGGGATCAGAGCTGGGTGGACTTTTAACCTGACCCAGCCTGGCTGCTAGCGTGTTTTTAACCAGGCTGACTTTGCCTGGAGTGCATTTAAGTACAGCCATGCAAACAGCTCTGACAGCCGTGCTCAAGAGGTGGCACTGCGGCCAGAGAAAGGAAGAGCTGTTCACAGCTTGTTTTCTGTTCATGTCGGCAAAGCTCAAGCCCAATGACTGGTTCGCATTGAATTGTCTGCCCCAAAATGAAAATACTAAGCACACTGCATAGACAACCGAGTTCTGACAGAAGCAATGCAAAAATAAAGGGGAAGGGTGGATACGCATAGATGTAAGTCAGTATTAAGAGGGAGGCAATCCACAACATCTCAATAGAGTTAATATATTACAAACTCATATTATTATAAAAAAATATATATTGCTTGTCAATTTAAGAATGGTATGACCAAAAAGTATCTAACGATGTTATGCAAAACTGAATCACGTTCCTAAGAGGAAGCAAAAATGCACACAAGAGCAAGGGCTTTTGTGGTTGCCCTGCAGGGAGGGGAGAAGTGACCCCCTGCTGGCTGCTTCCTTTAGATATAAAGTTAAAGGAATTTGTTGGGCAATGCCAGGAGTTCATGCACACAGATGCAAGGCTTCCTGCTTGTAGACAGGATTAACTCGAGCTCAGAGCATCCACCTGACAGACTTTGATCAGCTCTGATGTATCTGTGTAGCTACACCACTGGCTAGAGTCTCCAGCCTTAGGCTGTTTGCTGCATTTTCTCCTTGTTTTAGCCACCGTTTTTAACACATAAGGAACATGTCATGAGCCATGACAAGCAATTGAGATAAATGCCAACCCTTGTAAACCTTCAGAACAGAGGCTATATGTGTTCCAGCACACTCGCAGAAGCGATCAGAAACCAGCAAGGTATAAGTAAACAAAACAATTCTAATGCCATGTACCTGCAATTAAAAACAAAGTTGTCTTCTGCTCCAGTTATTTGCTTCCCCAAGACCTGTTACTAAACTGAGGTTGACAGCATTTAATCTATTTATTTCTGATGTTAACCAAGAACAATTTTAATGCATTTTTTAATAAGCCACAGAGAAGTGCATAAGCTCATTTCCCCCTCTTAGGTCAGCTTTATCATGAGAGCTTTATTCTACTGAAATATAAATGTGTTTTCTGGTTAACAGTGTTACTGAAGTCCATCAAGACTTCACGATTACAGACATGAGTTTTACCCCAATTTTTATTTCTATTTACAAAGGAACTACTGATGCTGAGTTCCCTCTGCATGAGGGCTCTCAAGTACCTATCCATCTGCTTTCACCTTGCTATTGGAGTGGTATAAGTGCAGTGTTCATTTTAAATAAGAAAAGGGAAGTCGTTTCCACAGCTTACAAGCTTTTCATTCCTCAGGTTCTGCATTTTTCCTTCAGCCATTTGTCAGTTTTATGTTTTTCTCTTCTTCTCCCACCCCACAATAAAGACTAAAGAACACCTCTGGAGGAAAAGCATTCTCCTCCACGCCCTACAGGCTTCATTTTCTGCTAGCTGACATTCTCCATCAAGCCAGATCCTGTGCTAGCATGAATTTGATACTCTGCCCTACCCCACATCAGGCTCATCGCTCTGCCTTGGTTTTCAAAGCATTTTGTCAGTAGATACAGACAGCATCTAAATCTCTGAGCTGAAGCAGCCATTCTGACCCAAGAACTCAAATAGCTATAATCACTGCTTCTCATACACTGAATCTCTTCTACCACTGTGTAGCAGCCCAAGCTTCATTTCAATAAAAACAAACTGCTTGTTTCACCCTGATAACCAAAGGCAATGTTTCCAAGCACAGCAGACATTAGTGGCTGGACCCTATTCACCTCTTGCAGAGGAAGCTGAGGTGCTTGTATAGCACTTTTCATGCAGTGTAGCCCAGTGATTACTACAACAGTCCTTGACATGTAATATTAAAACTTTTATCAGCCAGTTTTTCTAATGCAATTAAATCACCCAAAAGTGCCTCTCTAAAGGCAGAGGTATATTCAAAAATTAAAGTAATTTAGAAACAAATTACACAGTCTTTATATTAAGAAGGAAAATACTCATTTTTTTTTTTCTCTAACTGGTAGTGCTAAGAAGCTGTCCAGGGAAAATCTTTTGAAACACTGTAATTTAAAAAACACCAAGCCATCAAAAAGCAGCACAGTGGAAATTTCTGCTTCGGTTTTCATGCTGCAGACCTCTAGGAAAGCTTTTGGATACTGATGTAAAATAAATAAATAAATAAATAATAAATAAATAAATAAATAAATAAATAAAAAGCACTCAGGTTCCACCCAGCCAGGTAGGATGATGCCCACAGCCAGCCCTCATCAATCCCAGGGCATACAAACCTGGTACCCACATCATTCACACCAGCCTGGAACCAAACCAAGGCAGCTGGCCCAATAGCCATGTGCCGCTCTTTTAATGCCAAAATCAACTCTGTCTGATCTGTGTTGGTTTATTTCCTGGAATTATATGGAGTCTTGGACAAGGTTAGAAGAACAATATCTTAGAAAGATACTGTGGCTTTTAGCTCCAGAAGTACTTTCTGTGAAATATGCTTTAGTTCACCAGGCACAGCATTGCTCACAACAACTGCTATGCTGTGAACTTAACCATCAGCAATAAAACAAATAAGCATAATCAACCACCCTAATTTACTTCACTCCTACTGTAGTAAACGCATTAACTTAAATTAGTCCTTACAGTTATGCCTGTTCAAGTAGCCATATTTTTTTTACAGTCATCCAAGATGAGGCATAAAGGAATGCAAATTTCAAAAACAAGCGTGTGCTAGTTAAACTGACTAAAGAGGTATCTTTTGTTCAGATCTAAACCGATATTGCTGGTGTTTACATTAATGTGTTAGGAAAGCCTGGTCAGCACTTTCCAGCTCTACAGGGAGCTTTGTTTATTTAAGGCTGTGATTTTTAACTAAAATATTTCTACCTGCTCCCTGTGTTCTGCCTACTCTCCTGCAGCTCATTTCTGATCCAGCTGCCTGTCCCATTTTGTACTGACACAACTGCTTATGGAGCCAAAAGGAAATGAGATGCTAATTCAGGTTAAAGACAACTCGTTTGGGGAATAAGGTTTTGTTTGTTAACAATAGCAGTAATAATATTTGCCGACACAACTGAGATGAGAAGTAGAAACAAGAGATTTCTTGGAGCTGTAAAATGGCTAACTACAAGGTACGTGAAACCACTCTCTTAACACATTTTATGGCAAAACAAAAGGAATCTTCCAATCCTCCTTATAATAACCTGTTCTGCTCTGCACTAAACCAGAGCAGAAGCATTTCCATGTTCATTCATTAACATTCAGGTGGGACTGGGCTGACACAAGGTGAGGGTAAGCAGGTGAGGGGTGTTGATGTTTTTGAACTACTACAGCAGCCCCAGAAGCAAAGCTGTGACACTCACAGAAGCAGCTCAGGTCTGAATTCACGATTCAATTTATGATTACCTTCTGCGGATTTACATTTACAGATGGCAATGGATATAACCTATGGGTACTTCTATTTCAAGACCAACAGGCATCACAGTGTCTGCAATATTTTTGTAATACTTACATTTGAATACAGAAATATTTGCAGATATGCCAACCACATCTTCTGGTGTCTTTATTTTAAGATATTTTGTGTGTAGCATATAATAACTTTTGTGCTGTGCTTGCAAGCAGCAGGTAGACAGACATACAAATCATATGACACCATATTGGTTACAAGTCAGAAAATAGCTCAAAGTCCAAGATCCCAACTTCTAGCAAAATCACTGAAGTCACAAGAGATGCTTCATAAAAATAGTCCCAGAGACCTTAATAGCTTTGGGAACATGCCAATAAAATTTAAGTCAATTCCACCTCTGGTTTACTGTAGTAACACATTCAACTCTCCCTTTGCCACAGGCATTTCGCCCTCTCTGCAGATTAACTATCCTACAGGTGTAGACACTGTAGAGTTAACTCTGTATTGAGTCAAGTAGATTTCTTTACTCTGGTGAAGTAGTAGTGTGTTTTTTTAAAACTCTCAGGCAGAGCTAAGGAAGTGGTTGTGCTGATAAACCCTGACAAAGCTGAGATGACCATGTATCTTAGTATTTCTTCACACTGTATCACCAGCATGTGCTGTAGTGTTTATATTCTGAGAGATTTTCAGTAATCCACTTGGCTTTTCCCTTCTACTACCCTGATAACAGAGAATTGCCTTCATAGCCCTCTGTATGTACCAGAGGAGTCTTAAGGAAAGCATGTTCTCAACACATAAAGTTGGTCTTTTGCTTTAGGATAAAGAAACTCACCTGACTGGGCAGGTAAAATACAGCAAAGATGGCAGTGAAATACAGGGCCATAAAAGCAAACACAGGAATTTTTTTTTCTTGCTGTTACTTTATAAAGTGGAAACCCAGAGATAAAGATGACATTGGCCAGAAAGAGACCCAAGTTCAATTCAACCATAACATTCAGATTTTATCAGATAGACCATTAGATGTGACAAGTGAGGGGAAGTAAAACTTCACAGTAATTGCACTGTGCTGTGTACACAGATTCTCCAGTGAGAGAGGGATGAGGTCTGCTATCTTTGCTTCCCAATGTTAATGAGACAGCAGTGAAAATTCAAATACTTCAATAACAAAAGGGAACAATGTTATAAAAACCTCTCTAAAGTCCAATCTGACTCACCTGACTTCCTTGCTTTCAAGGCAATGACAGCAGCCAGCTCTCTCTGTACCTAAAATACCAGGAAAGGAAATGATGGTTATTGTTACTGATACATAGTAAAACAAACACATTAAAAAAAAATAAAAAAAAATTGGAAAGATACGGGCTATCAAGCTTTTGGAGCAGTAAACTGCACACAGAGTTATGCAGATAGTTTTGGAACTACAGTCACTTTTTCTAACAAATCTATTTCTTCTTCAGATGGGAATTCTGTGACTTTTTAAAAAAAAAAAAAAAAAAAAAAAACACCTTTAATTTTATGTAAATACTTCACATTCCTTAGGGAGGTGGGCAATTCAGCAGCCTGGCCTACAGCATATCTCCTTCACAAACACACACTTAAAGCTTCTTCCTTGCCTTGTTAAAGTTTGCTCTACCTCTACTGAACGCACTTGTAATGCTGGACTTTTGTGCGACTCCAACATAGGTGCATTTTCCATGCTGAGGTTTGTGGATATAACCAAAGTTCATTTTTGGAGCCTTCAGGAGGGAACAACCTCTCCTAATAGCATGACTGAGTATTTCAGGACCAAAATTTAGCTTCAAGCAAACAGGCAGAAATAGGAAATATATATTTTCCACATCTACAGGTTATATTACTAGGCTGTGATGAAATAACCCTGCCATGCTAGCCAGCTCCCTTCCTCAGCCTCCTGCCTCTGCATTCCCTTTATTTTCTCTATAATCTCTACACTGTCAGACAGTCTCATTACCCAGCTCAGCCCTATACCTACTTCCCTCTGTAGGTCTGTTCCTTCTTCTATCAGTAAAGTTCCATAGGATGCATTATTTTTATACTTTATGCTTCTCGCTGCCATGGTCTATCCCCCCTGCAGCTGCCTCAAGTACTCTCCATCTGACCTACAACACCCCAGATGGGTGTCTCCTGCATACACCACAACTCTTCCCTTCCTCTGTCCTATCCATACTCTTGGGCTCTTTTGTACACCTGGTAGCTTCTTTCACCCTCCCCCATACCCCAAGGCAGACTGTCCTTAGTGTAAAAAAATAACTTTGGGACACTCCAACTGTTTTTCTAGGGATTTTTTTATCTCTCTGTAGGAAGTCTCTGGTACTGCATACCAGCCATCTTGCCTAGCAGACCTATGCACAGCTCAACACTGTTCTGAAGCAGAAGTTCTGGCATACAGTTTCTGAGAGCATATGACATTTAAAACATCATTTGCAAGACATGGGGTATGGTCAGTATAAGGCATTACTCCCACAAAAAGTTCCTGTAGTAATACAATCACTAACAACTGTCAACATCCTGCTCTTACCACTCAGAAGTTTGAACACATGAAACCAGAACAGTTGATTTTACGTTGCTCTGAGCAAAAAGACAAAGTGCAGTGGTTACTAGGAGAAGACAAAATTGCCCAGGACTTCTCAGTATAATGGTAACCCCTGCATCTGCTGATCAGATACAGAGCAGCCACCCAGGAACATGCTCTACATGGAGCAGAAAGCACTCGTACCAGAGGCCACATCCTTCCTCTACTTGCATACTTCCTTCCCTTATGGCAAAGGACAAGGGAGCTTTTTTGCTGTCTTTGCAAGGTACAAGGATATTTTCTGCTCCTTGATACTACCCCTTGGAGAGGGATGGAGTTTTCTGCCACTCCAAGCAGGAAAATATGAAGGCAGTGCCACAGATTTCTTAAATGTCGTCCTGTTTCCAGCACAATTGTGCAAGCTGGCAGTATTACCTTCCCTTCCTTCCTTCCTGTACACTCATTCCCATGTCTGGAGAACCGTTAATCACATTTAATGTAAGCATAAACTGCAAGTATAATGGGAAAGAACATTTGTTTTTTTTGGCAAGACAACTTGTGTGCTTACTTGCAGCAATTAATATACACTAGTAATGATACATGCATGCTATCCAGAGTTAGAGTGGGATTTTCAATAAAAGCCCAAGTTGTTTCTGAATAACAACACCAAAATTTCTCTTGGCAAAATGCTCAGACATCTCTCCCTTCATTAAACTCAGCAGGAGGTACCGACGTCAAAGCCCCAATCCTGGTCTATTCTCCCAGGTTACTGACAGTACAAAACAGTGCACTGATGTCTCATCTTTATCTTTTAGTGTTTTAAAAATATGTTATCTCAAGATTAGCCTTGGGAGACACTACAATCTGCAACAGTTGTAAACATTTCAATTAACCCAATCAAATAGAATTGGAAAAATGCCCTCTTCTCAAAAACAGAAGAAAAAACAACATTGTGCCATCCAGCAATTATATTTACAGTATTACTTTTGCTTATAATATAGTACATTCTAAGTGTTTGAAAAACGATGCTAATATCATATACAATAATACAATTTTTCTGTATTTTTTCCACGATATGCAAAATATCTAATTTTTTGCTGTATGCCAAGTGTGCAGCTAGCACTGAATTTGATCTAAGCAAAAACACTAAGATGAAACAGTTGGAAAAAATGCCCCTGTAGTCTTAATATTAAGCAAATGTTCCTTCACCAAAGGGTTTCATCCTGTCTGTCTGAGCTCCCTCTCATAGGATTCACCCAAATCACAAAGAATTGGTGCTGATGAGCATCCTTCTAGTTTTGCCTGGTGCCCCTAGATTTCATACTCTATGTGCTTTTGTCTGTTTTAGCGTAAGCATATTTGGCATCTCTGCTGGACATGCAATTCCTATGCATCATTACACCAATGGAAATCGGTGCACAACATTCATTCCTCACTGCACACATGCCACACATTATCATACTTCTTCCTAACAGGATTTCAGTTACTGCCTGTTTGACAAAATCGATAGTTGCACATCACATTGCAGATAATAATCTAGACTCAAAGTAAAACATGTATTCACACAAGAGCTGTGCCTACCATAATAAATTAAGATATTAAATATAAAAAATTGGTTTATACATGTAGCTTGTTGCTACAAAGCAAACACTGTCTAAATAGCATCCTGTTTTGAGTAGCAATGCAAATGTCAAGACTGATTCAGCTTAAATGCTAGCTTACCACAACTATGTTTACAGACATATTACACCAGTCAAAAAGAGAACATTTTGTTTGTTGTAATCATATTACCACATCTTGCTAAGTTTTCTTTTTGCAATAAGAAAGAGCAAAAGTATTCACATAAGTACCCACTTATGTTTGCTTGATTAAATACAAATTATATTTTATATGGTGAATCTTCCTACCTTTAAATGGCAGGTGGATATTTCTTAAAAATATATATATACATATATATATATAATTTTATATATAAGTCACACAAGTGTGAAACCTGGGGAGCTAAGGTGATGTTTTCATAAAGATATTTCATAAATAATCTTTTCATAAGATTAAAGATAATTCAGGTTGGGAGGGACATAAGGAGGTCTCTAGTCCAATCGCTGGTTCGAATTAGAGTCAGCTATGAGAACAGACCAGGTTGCTCAGAATTTTCTCAGTCTAATCTTGAAAGCCTCCAACAATTGAGGAAGCAATCTCTCTTGAAAGTCTGTTCCACCGTTGTAGTGTCCTCACAATGAGAAGTTTTCTTTCCTTACATCCAGTCTGAATCTCATTTCAATCAAGCCAAAAGCCCAGCTTTATCTCCTTGATATGTTCCCCAAAGGCCCTGGCAGGCTGTTGTTAGGTCCTCTTGATGCCTTTTCTTCCCCAGGCTGAAGAAGCCCAGCTCCCTCAGCCTCTCCTCACTACGCAAGTGTTCCAGCCCCAACCACCTTGGTGAACCTCCAACGGACTTGCTCCAGGTTATCAGTCTTTCTAGTATTGAGGCCTCAGAACTGCATGCAGTATCTTGACATGGTCTAATGCGTGCCATGTAAAGGAGGACAATCACTTCCATCACTTTACTAGCTATATTCCTGTTAGTACACCCCAGGATGCTGTTGGCTGTCTTTGGTGCCAGGGCTCACAGCTGGCTCACTTTCAACTGGTATCCACCAGGACTCCCATATCCTTTCCAGCAAAGTTGCTCTTCAGTCAGGCAGACCATGACCTGAACTGGTGCAAGAGGTTAACTTGCACCAGGTGCAGGACTCAGCATTTGTCCCTGACGAAATTCATGAGGTACTGTTGGTCCATTTCTCCAGCATGTACGGCTCTCCCTGGATGGCAGCCCTGCTTTCCAGCATACAGTCCTCAACTTGGTCTCCTCTGCAAACTTGATGAGCAAGCAAGACTTCATCACCTCTTCCAGGTCATTGACAAAGACACTTAACAGGTCAAACACCAGCCCATCAGCAACCCTCTTGTTGCCAGCCTCTAGGTAGAGTACAGTTCATCAGCTGTGAACGTCTGAGACACACCACAGAAGCAGATTTAAACCTGTCCGGTTCTCCAGCCATTCAGACTACAACTCTGCTCAATCAGCTAATGACAGGACAAAGGGGAATGGTTTTAAACTAAAAAATTTAGGGGAGATTTAGATTAGAGGTTAGGAGCAAATTCTTCACTCAGAGGGTGGTGAGGTACTGAAACAGGTTGCCCAGAGAGGTTGTGGATGCCCCATCCCTGAGGGTGTTCAAGGCCAGGTTAGATGAGGCCCTGAGCAACCTGATCTAGTGGGTGGTGTCCAGGCCTATGGCAGGGGGGGTGGAACTAGATGGTCTTTGAGGTCCCTTTCGACGTGAGCCATTCTATGATGATTCTACACTGTTCTTCTCTTATCCATGAATCTGGTCATTTTCTCATAGAGCACATAGTTTTGCATCTAGTGGAGAGTTCATACCACCTCTACTCTTTTCTGTCTAGAGCAGTCTTTTGTGAAAGTATTCCATACCTCAATGTGCTAAATAGGACTTCAGGTCTAGATACAAAGTGACAATCCTTAGAGAATCTCAAAATGAAATCCCGCAAGAGAAAGCTCTCAACAGTGAGGTTTTGAAAAAGAGTTTAATTCACTCTTTGCACCTTAAGAAATGAAAGTTTGGTGGACTCTAAATAAATGTAGTACCTGGGTGACTATCCAGGTACCAGGGTACCAGGAAACTGTATTTGCCAGGTGCAATGCATTAACATCCTGATATTCTTTCTTATACTATCACAAGGTGATGTAACAGCATTGCAGGGAAGCATTCATAGCCATCCCAGTGTGCTCTTGTTTTAACAGTGCAACAAAACATTGAATACGAAGCTGTTTTTTGGGACGTGACATGGAATGCATGACAGCTCTGGAATGCCTCTTTAAACCCAGGAACAATCGGTACTTTTTCTTAAGAATTCACTGCTCAAAAGATTATCCAATGCAAACCTATTTCAAATGGCATTTTAGACTGCTTGCATGTCAACTGTTTTTGCAGGTTAAGTTTGATGTTGTCAGTGCCTCGTTGTAATGAAGCATATGATACGAGCATGAAATTTGATGGGCTCCATTTAGTTACCTTCACTGACTCTGCTTCTTCCACTGCAGAACAAAGAGTAAAGAAAAAATGAGAGCCCACCAAGTTAATTTCTTGTCTTTTGTATCACACTCTGCTCTTCAAAGAGCTGCATTGCATGCTTTATGCACAAATTAAGATGAGAAAGAAACCTCTGCAGTTTTTTCCTTCAGCCCTACTGGCTTTGCATCATTTGCCACAGCTATCGCTATTATCTTCTATGATCTCAATAGCCATTGTTTGAAACCAAAAGTGCATTTCCCTAACTAATCATTTGAGACCGGCTGAATCATCAAAAAAATGTCAAATTGTGCAGTGAACACAAAAAATGGCATTATATAAAAGAAACAACACCTGGTAATAAAGAACACTAGGGGGTAAGTAATAAGAGAAAGGCCAATGTGGAAAGACAGACCACAGTAAAGAAAAAGAGGTGGAATAAGGAATTTGCCAAACTTGTGCAAGTGCCTGTTGTCTGTGCTAGTCATGCTATACTCCCTTTATACAGAGCAAATGCATTACCATTGCAGCCTAAGATATGATTATTATTCACAGAAGCAGACTTCCAAAATGAATTACACATTCAGCATCCTAAAAACACCTATTTCTACTGACTGTATGGAGTGCCTTGGAAAACTAGATCAGATGTAGATGTCTGCCATATGGTCACTTATATTTAGGTGAAGTGAGTTCCACATTTTGCAACAAAAAAAGCTTCTACAGGGATACAGAAATAAAAATTAGGCCTTACAGGCATGCATGCTTGCAAGCTTTCCCTGACATTTCAGATGCTAAAACAATGATTTCTATTTTAGGCACACAGATACTTCCAATGTTGCTCAGGGTGTATCCTCACAATCAGTTTAGTTTTGCAAGTTTGGGAATTCAATTTCCAAAAGAGAAAACCTGACAGAGAAGCATCCTCCTGACCTGATGCAGAATGTTTCAGTCCATTACAAGAAAAACAACGAGAAAGTAGAAGAGACAGTGGAAGAGGCTGGTATGCCCTGTTCCCTGTTGGGATTTGAACCTCCATACCTAGAAATACATTAAAAAGTCAAATCTGTTCTCCAACTGCTTTAATGCTGGTCTGTAGATAAGGTTTTTCACTTCTGAAATGCTAGTCTGAAGAGTATTGTGAGCAGGATTCTGAAGTATGGATTCTTCAAGTAAGAGTGATTTGATTCTGTAGAAAATACAAGGACATTCGTTGAGCCAAAAAGCAAGACAGTGTGAACAAATTTTTTTTTCACGGCTAAGAACCTCATGTTTGGTTTCCTGCTCCTCCTCACAGGACTCTTTTTTTCTCCCCATCACAAGGTGTAGCTGTTAGCTAAAAATATTGAGAACCTATACCTTGTTGAGGACAGCACTCTGTGGAACAGTGAAAGTTGATGGTTCAAAATGCCTTGAGAAACATGAAGACTCTCCATAAAGTCTTAGTATTTCAGATCCCAGCCAATTGGATGGAGGAAAAGTGGGAGAACAATATTATATGCCATTTTCTCTTAGATGGAGAACTTCATATACAAATGTTAATATTTGAAGGATTCTGCTCTGGCCTCATTTTTTTTTGTGTGGCTGGGTTGTGGTTTTTTTTTTCTTCCTATGGTTGGGCTAGAAAATCATTATGAGAGCTTGTAGGGTTTTCTGAAAAGACAGAAAATGCAGGGAAAAAAAAAAAGATCAGTCTTTTTGACACCACTGTGGCAATGAATGGGCCTCAGGCCACCTAGAAATGCAACTGTCTAATTTTTCTTCAGTTAGTTAGCTACAGTCATAAAACAGCTCATTAAAAATAAAACAAAATTGAACATGTGCCCTGTTGCTGGAAATCGCTAAGGATGGTAGTTCAAAGTTTTGACTGTGCAAGATAGATGTGAAGTACTCTGAATTCACTGTCAATTACGTGTTTAGGGATATGCATTTTCCTCAAGTGTATCCAGTAAGTTAAATCCAGTGCTTAAACTCGGCATGTCAGTGTGTTTTGTTGATTATTTCTCTTTCTTAAAATGATAAAAATATTTTGTTCTTCTAGTTTTGAGAGGGGATGCTTTTGAGGTATACTGACAATGTTTTTTAGTGTTGGTGGGTTTTGAGTGAGGTTGTGTTTGTTTGTTTAAAGATATGACTTTGCAATAAGTACTTTTCTATTTTATCTCCCAATAAAACTAAAAATGGAGGAAAGCAAGTCTGAGTTCTTCTCTCTTTTCAGTGTCAGGAGAAAAAAAAAAGTAGAAAAAAGCAAGGAATTTGAATATAAAGAAAATGTAAAAAAATAAAGAGCAGTTTACAAACCACAGAATTTTCTAATCTTACAGTTTAAATTATTTTGTTTAGTTTATTGAGCATTCAGAACCATTCGTCTTTACAAAACTTAATACAAATTCTCTTTTCTTTCCCTTTTTCAGAGTTTCATCATATTACTTCATTAATTTTTCTTTTTCTTTTTTTATTTACTCTTTTCCTCATGCTTTTCTCCATTAAAACTTCTTCACCCTGCCTGGCTCACTGTCATCTCAGTACCTTCTCATGTACAGAAAACAGAACTAGCACTAATTCTGTTTTTTTTATATTATGATTTAGAGGTGTTGAACCTTATGATCACAAAATCATCTGAGACTGAAAGGCACCTCTGTAGATCATCTGATCTGCTCCCCTGCTCAAAGCAGGGTCAAGTAGAACAGGTTGCACAGGACCATAGCCAGTTGAGCTCTCAGTATTGCCAAAGATGTAGAGTCTCCAACGTCTCTGGGCAACCTCTTTGAATGTTCAATTACCCCCAGAGTAAGGAATTTTCTTCTTATGTCTAAGTGGAATTACTTGAACATCAGTTTGTACCCATTGCTTCTTGTTCTGTTGTAGGACACCACTGTGAAGAGGTGGCTCTGTCCTTACTCTGGTTCATCAGGCATTTATACCCACTGCTAAGATCCTCCCTGAACCTTCTCCAGTCTCTCAGTTTCTCCCAGTTCTCTCAGCTTTTCCTCTTCTGTCAGATGCTGTAATCCATTTATCATTTTATCATCTTCATGGTCATTTGCAGCATTCACACTACTATGTCCATGTGTTTCTTGCACTAGGAATCCAAAACTGGACCCAGCACTCCAGTTGTGCATCACCATTACTGACAGGAGGGGAAGGATCACCTTCCTTAAGCTGAGGCTATCACTTGTACTAATGCAGCCCAGGAGGCAGTTGACTTTCTTGGCTATGATGGCATGTTGCTAGCTCATATTCAATTTACTGTTCACCACAAACCCTTTCCTGAAAAGCTGCTTTTCAGCCAGCCAGCCCTCAGCCTGTACAGGGCCACAAGGTTATTTCTCCCCTGATGCAGGACTTTGCATTGCCCTTTGGTGAAAAGAGACTCCTGTTGGCCCATCTCTACAGCCTGCCAAGACCCCTCTGAATGGCAGCACACCCCTTTGCTGTATCAACCATTCCTCCCAGATTTATATCAGTCTGCAGACTTGCGGACGGTACACTCTCTCTCATCATCTATGTCATCATATTACATGAGATCAAGTGAATCTAGTATAACTTTCTAAAGCCCAGTCTTCTTAGAACAGTGATTTTACATGCTAAATAAGATGCATGAAATTCCAGCACAGAAAGGAAAAACTGTCATTTATTATGATGGAATTTACTGAGGCTAAACGCAGTTGGGAAGCCAAATCCCAAGATAACCCAGCTGAGATTCCTCAGAACTTATGACTCCCTTGACCTCCATTGTTGTGTTCACACCGATGTTCACTTGACCGAAAGGATCTGAGTGCAAGCTAGCTGGCAGAAAAAATCATCGTGATCCTCTAAACCAGCATTTCCCAGGCTGTGAAAGGCCTGGATTATAAGAAAGCCAGTGATCCTTCATTGGACTGATTTTAATATCTGTAGAGTTACACTGCTAAGAATCTAGTAAAGCTTCCTCATTTCAGTGACACAAAAAAAAAAAAAAAAAGTAGTTTGCATTATAAACATCTGCTCACTAAGACCTGGTTCTTTAATTTGAAAGGATCCAAATCATGGTGTTTCAAACATGATCAGTACAAACTTTGATGCAGTGACCTTACCGCAGAAGTGAGACGAGCAAGAATTTCAGCATTGGTTTCTGTCGTATCTTCTATTTTTTGATCAGGCCTTAAAAATAAAAATAAGATAATATTATTTCTTTCATTCTGTTTCAAAATCTTTTGATTCCTGGAAAGCACAGAACTGTGTGGCTACAGGCACTAGTGTAAAAGGGCTTTTGAGATTCTGCATCAAAAAGATAACTGCAACATGACAATAATTAATTGTGTCAGTAATGACAGGGTATATTCTTTGTCCCTTGCTGTCAAGAACTCTTTTGATTAAATTGTTAAAACAGTGAGAGAATTCTTTGGCTATAAAAATATGACGAAGAACTGAAGAACGCAGGACCCTTTTGACTCATCTTTGCTTATTTGAATGCATATTTTTCTCTGCTAAAAATGTACACCATCAACAGAGCAAAGAGTTTTCCATCTGCTTGCTAACAAGCTTTGCTCAGCTGTGGAGCAACACCTTCAATAGAATGCATGCTCACATAGATAAAAGCAGGCAACAACAAAATCAATACAGGACATATGAAGTTTGATATTAAAAAAAAAAAAAACAAACAAAAAAAAACACACATGAAAAGAATACATGTAAGAAGCTATAAATTAGCAAACTATAGCAACACCTGAGAACACTATTAGGTTTCAATTACGTTAATTCACGAGACAGAGGGACTTTGTGTCTTTACAAAAATGGGGTGGTGCAGGAAGAACCCTTCTAGAAGCTGTCACAAAACTCTGGCCCACATGGAGTAAGCCACACTAAAGTTGCTGTGGGATAGAACTGTTTTTCTTTAAAACAGCCCAATTCCCACCAGTAAACCATCTGTGAGCCTTTCAGAACAAAACAGAACAATCAGAAGAAATATACCAATATGATAGAGTTATTACTATGGGAAAAAAGAAAAAAAATGGAGATTTTTACTTTCTATGGTTTTCAAGAAGTGTGGTGTGCCAGCAAACTGAGCAGATATGCAAAACTCCAGCTGCTGTAATAAGCATAAATCCCAGGTATTAACAGAAGCTTCTATATTTGGCTAAATTATTTAATTGCTCACATGACTTGATGTGTTTAGGGAGAGAGCTCACAACATGTCTGGAATACTGCAGCTGGTGTATTTGTGGTTCTTACATCCCATGTCCAAAAACTTCTTTACCAAATTAAAAAATTAAGGTCAGAAAGCAAAGAATGACAGTATGTATTTGTTTGGGGGCAAGCATATTCAAAACACAATGGTAATTTGGATTAGAAATCACAATTACTTTCACAACTGCCTATCCTATTCAAAGAAAAATGTGATTTAACATTTTAAGTGTTATAAACCACCCAAAAGAAATAAACAAACAGTTTCGTTTACAGAGTCTGATTTGGTCTCTTTATAACTTGGAACGAGATGAAAATAGCTGACCTCTTTAGATGCCTTCATTTACCTACACATCTGATCTCTTCTAATCTCTCAGAACCCGGACAAGTCCAGGTTCTTCTAATTTGGAGGCAAAAGCAAGCAGCTTGGTACAGACACAGATACAAGCCGTAAACCCAGAAGAGCATACAGCACAGCTATTTTCATCTTGGGTTTTTAATCACTTCATCTTCTATTTTAAAGTACTCCCAGTATTCATCTGCATATGTGCATCAAACACTTATGGAAACACTAATGTACTAAAAATTATCGTTAGCTTTCCAGAATCAGAGAGGAAGTGTATTTTGATAACCCAGCTAATGGAAAAAATAAGACAGAATGGATGCTGAGAAACAGAATCAGGACAGTTAGCACTTTTATTTAAATGGACCAACAAAGGCTTAGTAGGGCTGGTACTGAACAAGGGGTACAAAGCCCAGACAAACAAGCCTAATACCTGTACAGCTCAGTATAGGCATACTTGAGCAGAACAAAATGCAGAGATGCTTGCCTTAGATCTTCAGGAAGGCATGACAGGTAGGCACAATTATTGCCTACCTATGCACCACCTAAAATCGAATACATTGCTTCCTGACCTGCTGACAGCTATGCCCACAGTCCCGTACCCAGACAGCACCTCCAATACACAACACGTGCTGCACACTGGCTTTACTCTATCTACCTACTCTAATCTACCTACAATGCAAATAAGAGACCCAAGGATACCTGAGGACAATTCACGTTCAGCAAAAGCTTTCCAGGAACTTCAAAAGGCACTGTCTAAATAAATATCCCATCCTGAACAAGTGGATTAAAAGCAATTTACTTAGAAAAAGAGGCTACTTATCTAAATAAATGCATTATTTTCAGTCAGAAGATACAAAATATAGTATAAAACTTCTGGAAAGAAAATAAACAATATGATAGAAAGGAGAAAAAAATCCCCTATTAATATTCCTTCAAATAATTACAAAAGATGTTGGATATATTCCAGTACCCAGAACACCCAATGCATTCTAGAAATGTGGCACTGGGAATTAGGTGTTGGTATAAACACCCCCTTTAATAAGAAGGAAATAGAAGCACATAAAGATCAAATGTCTGATACAATGCCATTGCAGTCACTGGGAAAGAATTCAGGAGGCATTGGATAAGAGCCTAAGTGACTGCGCAAGGCTGCAAGGAAGTCCATGGCAGGACTCTGAATACAGATCTTTTGTTCCCATGTTAAGCCAATATTCATTTCTTTTCCATTCAAGTAGAATTTGGCTGTGATTACCATCGAGTGTTTAACAACCCCAAGAGGCCTCAGCATCAGTCCCACCTCATCTGGCAACATCTACAGTGGCTCAGCGTTGTGAAATACACATAAGAACATCAGCCCTCAGTTTAGCACAAGCTGCTGAAATATCCTCCAGACCTGTCTTTTTTTCCATGGGAGATTCCTGCCCAATGCCATGTTTAATACAGGCAATTTGACACTGTCAAAGGGCAACAGGGAGTATTTCCTCGGGAACTGCAAGCACACCTCAGCATGCAAAGTACTACTTTAATTGCTGAACTTGCTCCAATATTACTTGGAAACACTTAATACTGCCCAGAAACAAACAAATCCATTCAAAAAAAAAATCTGGACAGCAAGGCAGGACCAGAGCCCTGCCAGTTTCCAGAAATGTTGAAAGAAGCCTCCAGAGTTGCTGCTGTCTAATCAAGTCCACAGGCTGCTGCTGAGTGAGCAGGTGCTCTGGGACCCACCAATGCACCCAGAAGCTTAGGCACATGCAGGACTGCTGTCTGCCAGCTGCAGAGAAGACAGCTCATCTAGTATCTGGGCATACTGCAAGATGTCCAGCATTGCCTCCTGGTACACAAGCAGGCAGTCACTTCTGATGAAGCAGGAAAATAATTAATAACATTAAGGATTTCTCTGTCCCTGTGTACATTTGGAATTAGTGCTAACAATACAGACTATACAGAAAACACAACAGAAAAATGAATACAAAAATACCAAATTAAAAGAAAGACAAGTCATCTAATGGTACAAAAAACAACTTATGAATTTATCCGAGAAGATGAACACTCATTGCAAGGAAGGGTTTTTAGAATCACTTCTTTCTTCATGAAGAAAGAATATATGGGTCTATTTTAACTTGGTGAGATAACTAACACACACTTCTTCACATCTATTTTCTTTCAGATAGTGTTTTAGCAGTTCATTACTTGCATCAGGCATAGAGAATTCTGAAACTGGAAAAGCCTCCTTTCCCTTTAATATCACCTTCCCTGGAGACTATAACATTACTTAACATTCATCTCCTTCAATATGTATTTTAAAAAAGGCACCCTCACAATCTGACAGGTAAAACCTCCAAAAAAATAATTCTTCAGTGACAATGTTCCCAAAAGGAATCCAACTTTGACTAAAATTTGAATAATGTGAGCAGGAAGGAGCTGGAAAGGTACATTAATGAATAATTGTTCATTTCATGTAGCAGGGAGCAGCCTCCACTCGAAATGACAGTTTCACTGGAACAGTAAAATAGCAAAAGCAGACTGTAAAATAGGGGAACTCTCTGGCCAAGGTCAGCATGCATGACACATTTTTAACTCAGAACCTGAAAAGACTTCAATCTATTCTCTTACTCAGCCAGCATCCTTCATGTAACAAATCAATACAAGCTATCTGGTTTGTCTTTTTGATGCAAAACCTTTGTACAAGTAGTCATGAATCATGAAAAGTTACCTGATTTGCAGTTAAAATGAGGAAAAACAAATTCTCACAGAAGTCAGGATGAAATTGCACCGATATTTAAGGAAAGGCCAAACTGTTTAATGCCATATTAGGCTGTAAGACAAGAATTTCTATTTCCAAAAATATTGAAAAATTTTGCCCGATGAGTCATCTGCTTAGAAGATCACATTCAACCCCCTGTTTTTGACAATTTGAGAGCCTTGTTACTTGTCTTTACTCACTTTACTCACTCAAGCTGACCAAATAAATGTATTTTCAGGGGAACCCCCGCTCCAGAACTGCTCATTTCATGTTGGTAAGGGCAGTCAGCAAGAGGGGTAGGGATCAAGTTTCTGACCTGAGCCAGGTAGAGAAGTTACTGAGATTTTTTTCAGTCAGCTCACCACACTTAAGGCTCAGATTGAACATCTGAATTTAAGTAACTGGAAGTGAGACACTTCAGTGACTTTGCCTTTATACTCCTTTTAAAGATTTCTGTTAGACATATTTGAGAGAACGTGTTTTTTTAAATCTGTGTAGAGAAGAAAAATACTGGCAGAAAAGAGTTTTGTCTTTGGCATCAAAGAAAAAATAAACCTCCTGTTGCCAGAGTAATAATTCTCCACAACATAAGTATCATGTTTAAGGCTTCATTACGCTAGTGACAATGAAAGAATTTAACCCAACATGTCTATGCTGGCCAGCTCCTGCAGCTTTGCCAAGGCATGAGAGGTCACAAGCCTCCAGACCTCACTGATGTCTTTTTTTCCCCCTCTGCATTTTGGCCTCTCATTGTGGAACAAACAAGTATGGTTTCTTTCTAGCTGCTCTAAATAGACAATGTTTAGAGTGCAGCTGTATCAGCACAGAGGGTATGTTAACAACCAAGAGTCGAGTCTAAGAGCAGATATATAGGAAGGAAAATTCTTAAATGGCATATTCTGCATGAGGAATGGCAACAGGAGACTACAGGGCACTGACAAACACACAACAGCAAACTAAAAATCAGATAACTGAAGCTACCACATTCTTAATCATCCTCTCTATCTGATAGCTGATCCTCACCCAGGACGAGGGCATCTGGTCTACTATAGTCAATCAGCTGCACAATATGTCTGCTGCCAAATTAGTGCCAAACCTCCAAATGCAAGAGAAGACCCCCAAAAAAATAAAGCAACTTGCCCAGGTAAAAGAGCAAGCTACAGTCAGCAAACTAGTACATAAGGACCACAGTATCTCAAAAACCCCAAGTTGAGTGCCCTCATTTATCTAGCACCCAGACTTTCTCAGATACTAGTCACAGTGCAGATCACAGAAAAGCCCACCTCTTCAAAGTTTGGCAACCCTGAAAAGAAAGCTGACTCACTTGCATGGTGGCTGGGGCATAAACAGTGTCATTATAAGGCAGCTGCTTACAAACCAGTTAGCAAAAGTTTAAAACAGCTGCATATGCCTACTTACATGTCAATCCTGGGAGGAGCCAATGGCAGTAGTTGAAGTAGGAGCTTTACACCATTCTTCCAGCATTCCTCTTTCTCAAATTCACAGAAAAGGTAGGTACATTCATCTGCTGAGAACTGGTAGAAAGCATGAGCGTCTTGAAAATACAGTTGTCTATCCACTGTTTAAAGAAAGAAAAAGATATCCTTTAAACCTTTTGCATTTGAAGGCTGTGTCCCAAACACTTTCTGTATTGCATCCAACTTTAATTCTGATATGCACCACTACACAGGAAAAAAGAATCACAAACAGTATAATAGAAATCCTGCCTTCCAGAACAATACCAAAAACTCTATGTGAAGATCTCCAGGTTCCTGAGACTGAAGCATTAAGACTGCTGAGTAATCAATTTTGAAATCAGTTTGGAATTGGGGGGTTTGGCTGGAAGAGAAAAAACCTTTCCCTTGTCAAACTTCTGAGCTTTGATTTCCATTAGCTTCTAATCTGTTCTCGCTAATGGCCAGGCACTAGTGAACAAAGTTCAATAATGCAGATGAAAAGGGTACACTAGGCTAAAAAAAAAAAAAAAAAAAAAAAAAAAAATTATAATAATAATTTTCTAGGTTGAAAAAGGATTAGAACAGTTTCATGTCTAACATTGTCTTCATAGCACACTCAGAGATTCACCACTTTTAAAGCCACTCAGCTGATGTTTAGCACATCTTTATCCCGGCCTCTGCACAAATTCAAGGATACTGGTTCTGTAGAATAAATCCAGGTAAGGTAACGTAGTGATACTAATAGCCTTCGTCTTCCCTGGCATAACTGGGATTTAACTGGATTCAAACAACAGGTTCCAAAGCCAAAAGCACAAGTTCCTACTGGGGGAGTCACTGAATCCTTGTTGATGCCACATTATCAGACACACCATCAGTGTAGCTGTAGCAGCAGAAAATCTTGAAGTATACTCTGTGTGCAAGCTGACACTGAGAAGTCTCCCACAACACCTCTCCCTCTCACAAGAAGGAAAGGAAATTGTGTAACACAGACCCCAGGGCTGGGAATGCACTGAGTTAAGCTATGCAAGGAGTTACACCTACAGTGGTACTGTAGTCCCTCAGGTTTCCAGATGTTGGTTATCCTTGTGGTTATAACTAATGACATCATTTGGACCATACCCTTAAACCTGGGGTGGAAAGGGAGGCAGCTGGGAAGAACCTGGCATGACAACCACTTCGAGGAGCAGAACACTCTCACAATCCATTGTATTCTAAAACTATGGAAAACAGAGAGAGGAAGGGGAAATCACTAATTGCTAGAAAAGTCATCTGGCAAATCTGTGATCTACAGTGATTAAATAGCTGCTGTCTTCTGAAAAAAATGTAAGAGGTTGAAGAGAGAGGAAAAAAAGGCTCAAAGAGACATGCACACTATCTGCAACTTGGCAGTACGCAATTGCATTTGCAAAAGCAAAAGGAAGGAACTTGCCTAAAAAGAGAAATTCATCTTTGACATTTATAAAATGAAAGGTCACAGAGGTAAGCCTACTGAAGAGGTAGTAAAATAAACAAGTGTAACTAAAAATGGATCAACTTGCTTTCCCCCACACACACCTTCTTCCTCTCCCATAAAAAATAAAAAAGAATATTACCACATGCAAAAGAAACTGATAACGTTCCTTACACTATCAACACTGACCTGATAATATAATGCCCATATCCAGAAGCAGCTGCCACACGCCAACTGCCGTAGATCTGCACTTAACAAATGGGCAGTGCTCCAAGAGCCAGTCTACCAGTTCTGATCCAACACAGCTCCTCCTGAAAATAGACAAAGCATTTCTGTAGCATAAGATGCAATTAAAGTTAGTTAAAATGCAATTTTATAAAACAGTTTGTGTGTTATTTTTTTAAAAGAGGTAGTCCTTTTGTTCAGCAGAACAAACCCTTTTTCTCAGTTACTGTTTTAGGTAACCCTATTCATTTCAAGGAAAGGAATTATTCTGGCAAGTCTCAGGGGCACTTACAACAAGGAAACTCATGTTAGACGAGTAAGTTCCCTTACATATCTAATTCACGTAGCACACTTCACAATGTAAAATATTTTTATCACTTTGTGCTGCATATAGTCATCCAAAGACACAAAAGAACTAAATAAAATCCAGCTTTTAGCCTCAAGATTTTATTTCCTTTCAGAGCATAGGCATAAGCAACACAACTAAACACCATACATGCAAGACCTTGAGTGTTGCTCTAGGATATACTTCATCTTGCATATGATTGGTAAACTTTTCTTTTTAATTCTTAAGAAAAAGTAACTTTTTCCTCAAATATGGATATAAATAAATGGTGTTACAATAGAGACCTACATATTTTGGCATAACTGAAAATAGTACGAAGGATTTATGCTGCAGTGTAACACAAACACAAAATCACTTCATTACAGAAATATTCCAAAAATTATATGCAAAAAGAAAATCACTGTAACTAAATCCTAGGAATCCAGTTAACCTCTTCTGTAGCTCCAGACCAGGACTGAATTTACCACTCTTTTCAACAAAATATTTCCATTGTATATGTAACTGTAAGGAATTAAATTAATGGACATACACACAGGCAGGCCATCACTGCTTTCTAAAAACTGACAAGGTAACATAAGAAAAAAAATAAAAACCTCATATTTTAAGAGAACATTTTAGTTTCTTAGTAACACACACAAGATCTTACTTAGAATTTAGTCTCTTTTCAAATAAGATGACAGACAAATGCAAATAAAACCCATGCAGTTGATTAAAATGAATGATCTTGGGTTACCTGCAAATTCCAGTAAGGTACACCCTGTCTTTAATCAGGTCAGAAGCTTGTAGTGTGAAAATATTCCTGAGGGCTCTCCCAGCACAGGAGGAACTTTCTCCATAAATCTGAATGAAAAGAGAAATAAAAAAACACTGTAACAAACAAGGATTTATTCCCATTGCAGTAAATTGCTTTGCCACTGTCCCCTCCCTCCCTCTGAGCTATGACTTCTCCCCTGATAAATGACTAGCAAACTGTCAAAGCCTCATAGAAAATGCACCCCAACTTCTGCCATACCTACTCTCATCTACCCCCATGGGCCAGATGACTTATGTCTGCCTAGAAGAGCAGAGATTTTACTATCTGCCAATTTTACCTTTGAACAACAAATATGCCTAAATTAAAACAAGTGTCATGCTAGTGAAGAAGAAAGACTTAACCATTGCAAATCCATAAATACACTGGAAATTAAAATTATTCCACATGTATTTGTGTTAAATAATTGAATACATACTAAAATACCATTTCATATTTTTTTCCGTTTTGTTTAGGATCTTTGTGGGTATTCTGTAACAGCTACAGGTTAGGTAATTTGCACCTTGCTGTGAGAATGGGGCCCTTCAGAATGGCTACAGGTTTTGATTCCCCCATGCCCTTACACGTTAAGGTTGCAGGTGGGTCTATCAAAACAAGACATAAATTCCATCTTTCCTAAAAGCATGTTCCACCTGGGTTCCACAGACTACTCCTTACTGACAAGTTTAACTCCGGCATACATTTTCACATTTCTTCCCAGTACCAACAAAACGCAGCAGTACCACAAACTACTAATTTGAAAGAAAAATCACGTCACAGTTTCACCTCTTTTGGTTCTTATGTTTTTGAATCTTTCAAAGAATAAAAAATAATCCTGAGACAGTGAAGGTCTCATGAGGTGTAAAAATAGAGTTCTCACACTCTAAAATACTGAAAAACTGAGTTAAACTGGGAAAATAGTTTAAATTGCTAGGAAGCAAGTTCACATCAGACTTCACAACAATTTTGCTGGCAAATTCAGCAACAGGAATTAACAATTTATAAAACACAGATTGTGATTTGTTAACTTGATTTAACTGCAGGCCACATCTAGGAGTGTCTTCAAAGCTATGACTAAGGGGTTGAAATAAAGCAAAGATATTCCTGATATGTTGGAATTAAAATGAAGCTCGACAAGTACCTTGTTTGAAGGAGTTTCCAGGTATGGATTTGAAATTCTTCTGGACAGGGTCTGTAAGAAAGTTTGATAGTTCTTTAGTTTTGTTAGGTAAAGTCGCCAACTAAGACATTTTACGTTAGGAAAAAAGCTTGGTAAACTCACTTCTGAGTTGTTTGCTACTTTTACTCTGGATCTAGTAAAGAAGCTTAGCAATAAGACGAGTTCTGTAGAACTGTTTGGGTGAGGAAGGGCCAGAAACGACAGTGAAAATTTCCAAGATAAACCTACAAAATGTGAAGTGAAAATACAGCACCATGAAAGCAGGATGTACTAGAGGAAGGAAAATGTAATTGTGTGGGCCTTAATACCTCTTAAAACAAACAAACAAACAAACTTCAGAAAATACACCTCAGAGTCATAGAACTTCTTAAGGAACACCACTCTTCTTAAATGAAAATTTTAATTACAGGGAAAAAAAATACCTTTTATTAGGATAAATGAGGAATCATAAGGTGACTACTAGGAATGTATCATTGCTCTAATGGACATCAGCGTTACCTCTGTCATGCCGCATGTTGCACTGGTAACAGCATCTCAGAAATGGATGCTCCAAAGTTAGAGGGCATTCAAACAATGATATTAGTAAGAATAATAAAGGATTTGGATAAAGATTAGAAGAGAAAGAAAAAAACTATAATTAATAACCTTAAAAAGGTGAGATTACAGGAGAAATAATGCCATTATACAAAATAATGAAATAGCACAGAGAAAAGACGGATTTTCTGTTCTCTGTTTTATATAAGGTGAGAATAACAGATCACTAGGTGAAATTAGAGAAGTTTCATATTTGAAGAGACAGAAAGGAAAATGACAACTCTTTACTGCTGGGAAATGCAAATGCCAAAGTCTTACTGGCGTTCAGTAAAGATCGTTGATTCAAAGTTATAAAATTAACAGTGGAATTCTGGAGATAAACATCCATGCAAGAGTCGGGTTATCTCATCCATATTCACCATGGTACTTCCATATCTTGTCAGTGTTGAAAGACATGACCTGGCCTACCCTTATGTTTACTGGTAATTCCTATCTCACTACAAGCTGTACAATGCACAAATAAATACTGCCTAAAAGAAGCCTGGAACTGGAACAGAAGAAATCGTGCAGGTGCACTGGCAGAACAATAGGAGGATTGTGTGGTGCTTGCTCACATTATTCCAACTTGCAGGCAAGATAATTAATTCCTCACTTTGAGAAGGATCCAATTCACACATGGTACATTATAATCGCAGGAAAATCATCCTTCACACACCATAAGAATTACAGAATCCATATTTCAGTAAGGCCACCTGCTTTCCACCCTGCCCCCCATGTTCTTAGTACTGTATTTTTAGAAAGGGAAGGGAAGTGACACGGAACCACAGAAGTATCAATCAGTGTTTACCCTTCCATGCCCAGCAAAAATGTTAGCATAGTTCCATGCATAACAGCAGACCCATACAGAAATACTGTAACATAAAAGCCTGATTCCCCTTGCCCATACCCAACAAATGTGTCATAAGACTGCAACGGTGCCTCTGGCCCCACTTACTCTTTCTAGCAGACATGTCATTAACACCTCGATGTTACAGCAGCCTTACATACCGACATTTCAATTGATTTGTGTCCAAGCTTTTCATTCAACAAGCCTCACTTATTACAGCAGCACGTCCAAGTTCAGACATCGATTTCCCCCCTCCCTGCAGGCTGGCACTAACACTTATCTGTAAGCCAATTCCAGTGATGCTGGTGGGAACAACAGCCCAGCGGTCTGGTTTTGTGAGGTGGAGTGAGTTGAGACCCCCTGCCTCTGCTGGGCTCTCACCACTGGCCTTGTGCCACCCATGCCACTTGTCAGCCTGGCTCACTAGAGAGGAGGCCAAAAACTCAGTAAAAAAGGACTGGAAATAAAAGTATGACATTTCAGTAAGTTGGAGCAGCTCTCAAAGTGTTGGATGAGCTCCAGAGCCAGATAAGGCTGCACAGGGGAGTCAGTAGAGATGAGGGGAAGGAGGAAAGGGAAGGGCAGCAAGAGCTCCCCTGTCTGGCAGCAGGGAGCCTGACCCACTCAGCAGCTGTGGGGACCCCCAGACTGGGTCTGCATACCTTGCTGGTACTTCAGACACAACATGTGCCCAGCCATGTTTCATCTGGGCCTGCAGTTGCTCTCTCTGGGCTAATTTCAAGTGAAACTGGTACCTTTACGCTTCCTGCTTCACATCTGTTTTAAGAGGCTGTACTAGGTCCAAATTTGTCACTTTCTAGAGCTTGCTGCCCTAGCACCGAGATAACTAGTTTTGTTTATGCAGCACACATCAGTGGGCACTAATTACATCCTATGAAGTGAAAAAGCACCAAGCAGTAAAACTTTGACTTCCAGTTCAAAGTCAGACATTCTTTTGGGTTGCACGTACTAAGCCACTACACACAACAAGAAGTCAGTTCACAAGAGAGAGAAAATGGCCATGAGGGCAAAGTCCCTTTTTCCACCAGACCACAGAAGACCTACAACATCACAAAAACTGAAGTCATGTTGCTCATGTACTCAGCTGTCAGAAGATGGCTGGAGCTATGAATTACTTCCAACGAGTCTGTAAAAGATGACTCAGGCTGAAAACTAATAGAGCAAAAAAGTTTTCTAATTTATCCTCCAAACCACATGGTGCTAGTTCTGGTGCAGGGGAGAGAGAAGAAATTCACAGCCCTGAAAGAGGAGAGGGAAAGGCAGGACAATGGTTTCTTTTGGTGGTAGCCTGAACCCAGATCAGCCCAGAGCAAGCATAAAAACAGAGCCTAAGAGTGTACATTTATGCATATGAGGCAGGAACATACATACCTGAAGTTCTACAAAGAAAACAGAGATTGCATAGGAGAGCCACAAGACCCCCAAAGAAGTGGAAGTGGTGTTCCGGAATAGAATAAAAGTGATCTCTCCTGTTGATGCTAGCAAGGAGGAAGCACCACTCCTCCCTGAAGGTATTTAGTAAATACAGGCTGCTTTTCCCAAATGACTCCCCACCACCACCACAAACACCAATTCAAAACACATTTGCAAATAACTCTTACAATGAGCCAAAACGTGCTTTTAAAGCAAATTCATTAGCCGTCAAGTGAACAACTTGTCCCTAGTGACAATCACCTTGGAAGAGGCACCAGGGCCTGTGCCAAGAGACACTCTGCCAGCTCAAGGAGAATCTGCGCCAAGCCACGAGGCGGGGAAGAGATGGGGATGTGGTGACACATTTGGTCCTGTGATGGGGAAGGAGCAGGTCCAGAGTGCTGGGTGCCCTCTGGGAGGGCTCTTCTATAGTACATGGGCAGGTGTACATAGGGGGCTTCAGGTTTCCCATAGGGGATGCAAGAAGGAGGGAACAGGGAGATGAACCTTTGCCTGGGTGAGCATGAAATACAAATAGGGCATTGGGACTGGCAGCCCATCTTGGGGGCACAGCCTGCACAGGACAGGAGGCTCAGGAAAAGGTTTTAGAATAGTACTGCTAAGATCCACATCTTTTTACACCACGGTTAACATGGTCTGAAATTGGGAAACACTATAAAAGTTGTTGCTGTGATATTTAAAACCAATAGAAACACAGGGAGCAGAGCAGATTTTTAAAATTCCAGCTAGATTTTTAGAAGCAGTACCTAATTAAATGACTGATGCTACCAAGTATGGCCTATACCTGGGTTTAAATTTATACAACTTCAGCTTGACAATTGTTTTCAAACAAGCTGAGAATCTCTCCAATTACATAAAGTTAAACATGTGAGGTTATTGATGACAATAGTTTAATATATGAACAAAATCCAATTTCTGAAGGGTTTGGAGAAAAATTCCCCCATAGCATATCGTACAAGACAAAGCGTACTAATGAGAGCATGTTTCAGTCTTCATTTGAAAGATCAGGCATTGCAGCACTGTGAGACATTGTGTTAGTTCTTTATATGACAGAGTATTGAACTGGCTCCATGACAGAAATTCCCTATTTATTTCCAAGAAACTGGTTAACGTTCTACCCACAGGATAAAGATACTACAGAGCATGTTCTCAGTCATGCCTTTTGGGGATATATTTGAATTTTCTCATAGTTTTTAAATCTGGGATTTTGATTTGGCTTCATCCCTACTTCAGATGATGTTGTCTACTAGCTGCTTGTGCTTTCCCTCCTGCCCAAGCTGTTCCAACAACTGCTGATATTTCTGCCATTGCCAGCAATGCAGTCGTGGTAGCATCAGCGATGCTCCATACATCTGCTAGCAATTTAATCCCCATCATGCTCAGAAAGACACAAAGCAACAGCTCTTGGAGCTCCAATTCAAGTGCTTTCCTCTGCTGGGATTTAGTACAGTGGTAGCAGCCAGCAACCTGTCTACACCAGAAGTCACACTAACACTACAGAAGAGGCCTTAGAAATTGTAGGGAAATAATAATTACAAATACAGGATTCAAGAGTTTTGCCTTTCTTCTATTCTGGTATTCCTGTGCAGCAAGCAGGAAAATAAAGCTTTGTGTCTTTTATATTAATTAAGGAATTGTTTTTTAAAGTTTATTTTTATTAATTAAGATTGTTAAATATTTAGAAGAAGGAATAGGGGGATTTAAACCTGTAAGCACCTTTAAACCTCAAAGAAACAAGAACAGACAGAATCAGTGTTATTCCCCCCCAGCAAGTTGTTTAAACTTCCATTTCAATTTTTTCAAACATTTAGCTTTTCACCTAGTTGTATTACCAAAATCTGGATTAAGAGTTTGCAGTGAACAATCAAATTTTAACAGTTTGTGGTTTAAAACATTCAAACATATTTCTCTATTTGATCAGGCCTTAATCTGCGAACATACCCATGATCATCTTCATACTGATAAGCAGTTCTTGATAAGCAGTTCTAATAACATTTGTGTATAAATATAAGAAAATGAGTGTTTGTAGTTTCAGGGGTTTATCACTATGTCCCTAAAGAATTTAGCATAGTATTTTGTGCATTCCAAATTGGATTACTCGGTGTGCTTAAAATTAAATAAATACTTCAGTGCTGTA